CGTTACTCGAATCACTCGATATACGACACTGTCACTCAGCCCTCTTTTTCCCTACCGAGAGAATCGGGGATAAATCACACGACACGACAATTCCGGCACGCAGCGTTCGAAGCACGACGCGAGATAAATGAATGCGCACATTCGCGATTCGCGAGTCCAGACATGGCGGGACGAGCGACTATCACCCGCGAATGTCACAGCGAAACTGCACATCGTTCATGCAATTGCCGTTTACATACCTTCGCGTACCTCGACGTCTCGAGTAAGCGATTCGCGCGACACGTTATTCATTCCGACAGACACCTCTTATACAATCGTAAATTATTGAACACACACGGCGCGTACTCGCGTAGCAATTATTCCCGCGGCCTGCGAAACGAGGAAGCAGGCATGCCAATCGCTGAAACGAGTGCGTTTCAAAAACAGCACGAAGCACAGTGACTGGCGTGCGCGCGGAGCACAATCACTTCCTACCCGTGCGAAATTCCTCGGGAGAATGATAGCTGAGTTACTCACGCAGGTAACAGTGCTCCGAGCGTTGACGGAAGCAAGTGGCAAGTCCGCTCATTGTCAAAAACAATGCCGAAAGTGTTTTCACGCCGATTTTCGAGACACGCAGTTTTCAAATATAACGGTCGCGCCGCTAGTACGGACTGCGCAGGTGCCTACACTGCTACGTCACCGTATCGATCCGTCGCGCCGCGGCGGCGCGGAGCGGCGGAACGTGATTGGCCAGATCCGGGGGCTCGACTCACGAACCTTTCACCCGACTGTGCGGCGCTCTGTCTGCGCATTATCTGCATTTTATGTACACTTTCTACACTTGAAGTGGATATTATTGTGTATATATTTGGATTATACCCAAAAGATGCCCAAAAGAGAACTAGAAGTGGAGATTAGTTAGTGGAGGAGATTGGAGAAGATTCGAGACATGGTGGAAGATACGAGGGTGAAAAATCAAGAACGCCAAATATACTCACTTCCTGTTTCGTGGTGATGCACACGCGACTGCAGATACTTTGGTCATAACGGTGAGTCTAAATTTAACACTTTCGCATTATTAAATCATTTCTCTACGCTCTTAATTAATTCGGACTAATCGGTATTTATTTTACGTTAATAAAACGTTGCGTACAGCATTATTTTTCTTATTCTTTTCTTTCTCCGTTTTAATTTTCTTTTTTGCCCCGACTTGCGTGAACAAAATTGACAAAAATAGCATTTCACAAAATTTCATGTCTCTGGATACAGCCTAAATGAATTGTGTCCTTAGGTTGTTTACAGCAATCTAAGAATACGCCTCTGACGTAGCAATGAACAAATGCAATCTAATTGGAACGTAGAGATTAACGATTGACTGCGCCTTTGATACGAATTTGTTGATAGAGTGATTATTCGTCACATTGTAAAAGCTTTTGTTGTCTAACCTCAATAAAAAAAATCTTATGTAAGTTTTAGAGAGATTATCAAACGTGATCCGACTCCGATAGGTATGATTTTACTTGTACACAATTGTTGTAAGTCTAAAATGTAAATTATATACTTCACCATGTCTCAAATCAGTGTATATTGAAAAAATAGATATCGGAATATTCCGAGTCATTTGTTACATTGTTAAAAGCGTACAGGTTTATCTTACAGCGCCACTCACTATTTTATTATTAATAATACATTACTATAGGAAAATAATAATTGATTTTTCAGCCTAGACGTTTCATCGTTGATTTTTAATTGCTGTGCAAGATTGACCAAACAATCTTAATCAAGAACATGGATCCAGTTCAGCCTAAAAACCCTAAAGCAGAAGGAATTACTGAGGGAAGTAAGGAACCATTGTTCAAGTTGGATGAGCCTGTTACTACTGCTTTAAATATAAGTACATTGACTAACGTCAATGCCAACGAGGAAGCAGATAGCCTTTCTTTCATAGTGCTTGGTAAAGATTCGGTAGAGGCTCAGGCTTCCTTATTAGCTTCCTATGTTGATATCCAACAGAAGAGCATGTCAATTGTACGTACATCACACAATTCTGTTTTATCTTATGATTACATAAAATGGTAAATAGTAAAAATATTTTTCCCTGCAGGACTATAAGTCAATGGTGTCGTCGCTGAGCATAACTGAGATGCAACGCAGATTGACGGAAATGTTGCAAGAAAATGTGAAATTGAAGGAAACCTTGAGGCAGAACAACGACTCTATGAAACAGCAGTTTAATACCTTGGCAATGTGGCAAGAGGAGGTGACCAAGGTTCATCAAAATCATAAGCAAAAGTTTGCGGAAACTAAAGAACTTATAAATCATCTCAAAAAGGAAAATGCAGAACTGAAAACTAAACTCTGGCTCTCACAACACACTGAAGATATAGGATATAAGGTATATAGATAGAAATGTATTACGTTAAATATATATGTAAATACATGTTATACATAATTTCATTGTCCATTTCACTTTTTTCCAGGCGATTAGTGCCATTTCTGAATCTGACACTATTGTTAGTAATGCTTTCACCAGTGAAACAGAACTTGAACAGAACGTGCCCAAATTTACAAGCGCAATATCAAAGATAGCTGTTGAGAAATGTAAAGAATACATAACGTCTGTAATATCCGAAAAGTTTGCTGATAAAGACCAACAAAAACAACAATTAAAAGTAGAAAAAGAATTAGAGTTGGCAATGAAATCGTTAAGTTCCAGTGACAGCCACAGTTATGTGAAACCTGAAATTCCAAAATGTTCAGAGGCGTGTTCTGCAAAGGATCAGGAAATTGCTTGCTTGAAAAAATCCATTGATATACTTGAACAAAAGTTACAATGTGTATGTTTCTTTAAAAAGTTGTTTGCTAAAATATTTCAGGTAACTAAATTGAGGAATGAAATTGAATTGTCTTTTGAATTTTGCAGATCTTTACTCCTGTTGAACTGAAAGATTTATCGGAAACATCGTCCAATTTAAACCGTCAGAAATTCGTACAAAATGTGAAGCAATATAACGACATGCTACAAGAATTAACCGAATGTTTTATAACACAAATAGAACACTTTGGTAGCATAGAAAAAGTTTTAAAGGAAGTTACAGATATTCTAAGACTTGACGGCGATAACTCTAAGATGCAGTATGAAGAAAAATTATGTCAGTTTTGCAAACAATTAGCTGACGAGCAAGTAAAACTTATTACTGATCGACAAACTTTAATTAAATCAAAGAATCAATTCCAAAAGATATTCTCTGATTATAATTCAATTCTATACGAATTGGAAATAACGATCGACGAAAATACGAAGTTAAACGTTTTAAAGGCCAACAGCGCCCACGAGAATTCACAAACGTTAGAACAGATTAAACGCGACCAGCAATCACTGGAAAAAGAGAAAATAATTTTCGATCAAGAGAAGGACAATTTAGAGAAAGAAAAAAGATCCCTTGAAAGCCAGAAAAAGAGCTTGGACATAGACCAAGTATCTTTGCGTGATGAGAGAAAACTTTTCGAGCAAGAAAAAATCACTTTAAATGAAGAAAAAGTGTCACTTGATCACCAAAGTCAACTATACGAAAATTCCGAAAGAGATCTGCAAAACGAGAAAAAAGTATTGCAAGTTCGTTATGACCAACTGTTGAGCGAGACAAATAATTTGCGACAGCTGATCGAAGAGAAAAGTACAGAACTTCAAAATACGATGGAGCAGGTTGCACAAGGCGTAAGTGAATTTTTTCTTAAGTTGAACTAATACAGTTTACGTAACGTCTTAATTTAAGATACATGTATAAGACTTAAACATCACGTCTTAAATTTCATTATTTTCATGATACTATTTATAGGCGGAAGAGATAACTTTATTAAGATCGCAATTATCGCTCTATGAAGAAGACTTTCAACAGGAGAAGAAGCTTGCAGAAGCATTATTAGAAGACAAGAATAAATTGAACACAGAATTGCTAAGGCAAATAGAGTTTAACAAACAGTTACAGGAATCTGCTGGCATTACCGATTCCAGTGGTCAACCAAGACAAACGTCTGAACATCCAGTAAGTTTAAATTCATTATGCCATGACGTTTTTATCTAAAAATAAAAATGACCGTTTCTTGCTTTTTATTTACCACTAGAGCGGTGACAAATACAACGGGCGCGCAAGAGGTCGCAACGCCACTGTGCGAGAGAAGCAGCCGAATTATCGAAATTTAATTTTTCGCTTATTCCCAATGAAATAATGAATAATTACGTATTTATTTAAATATTCAAATTCCTTTCTAAATTGATATACGCGTAAATAAGTTCTATTTTTATCGTATTGCTTCTCTGTAGTTCTGTAATCGTATGTAGTATCGCATAGTTGGCATTGCTAAGTTAGCTACTTTAATCCTAGACTTTTCTCTTTTGTTTTCTTCTCCTTATTCTCTCTGCTCTTTCAAGGATACAACTAAGCTTTTTATTGAATTAGTAAATCATATATATATATATATATATATATATATATATATAT